AGGGAGAGAGAGAAGGGAGGGAGGGAGGGAAGGAGGGAGGGAGGGAGGAAACAAAGAAAGAAAGAATTAAAAAAAGAAAGAAAGAAAGAAAGAAAGAAAGAAAGGAAGGAAGGAAGGAAGGAAGAAAGAAAGAAAGAAAGAAAGAAAGAAAGAAAGAAAGAAAGAAAGAAAGAAAGAAAGAACATTAACAGCCCATTCCAGGGCAGCTTTTTTCAGACTCCTTCTTAAAACTATTCAGTTCTTTTCCATTAATCTCAAATAAAGATTATAACTAAAAACCTGCCTTGCCTGTCCGGGTCTTGCCTAATATCCAACTTCACCATCTCCCACATTACTTTTCTTTTCATGTCACTTTCACTTTCTCTGAGGTCTCAGAAAGGAAAAAAAAAGCAAGTTTCAGCAAACATTTTCTGTGAAAGAACAGAGAACAAATATTTTAGGTCTTCCAGTAGGGCCATATGGTCTTTGTGCGAACAACTCAAGGCAGCACTTTCTCAGCTTTGCAACCAGAGATCATCAGGAAATTAATCAGCACAGCAGCATCAGATAAAGTTTCATTTCCAAAAACTAGAAATGCTCTGGTCATAGTTTGCCACCCCTGTCCTCAATCACTCCATATCCCCTCCAATCATGTTCTGTCACTTCTACTTAGAAAAAAAAATCTTCCCTTCCTCCTCATCCTCCTTTTCCCAATCTGTCTTTCCCAAGGTCGACCTGAACCCTTCCTAATCATCTTTAATATTACAAGCCAAATGCCTGAGTCAGTTAAAGGGAACCCACATCTCCCTGGGGCACTGGGCAGGTGTTGTGCACTGTTAGCACTGTTAAAATAGACACTAGCTTTTATGATAAGTTCCTTAGGTTTACACTGCAAGCACGCTTTCTAAAGCTTACTTTCCTGTATATGAGCAAAGACATTTTGGAAAGGGAAGTTTAACTGCCTAATGAGCAGCCGTTGGACTGTCCCTCTGCAGCCCTGGCTGCCTTAGCCACCTGGACCACCATTATGGCAGCAGCAGACCTCTGGAACACTAGAAGATGATCGCAGCTGGAACTATTGTGAATAGTACTAAGAGATAAGGCTATCATTGGTCCACAACCCCGAGGCTGTAATTGATGCTACATGGCAAGATTGGGATTGGCCTGAATAAATAGCCAAAGAAACATCTTTCTAGGACTATATAGGCATCCTTCTTAGGCTCACACAAATAAGCCAATGGGTTAGTTGGCTGGGAAGTACTTGCCTATGCTGCCACTCCAGGCGTGGCTACATCAGGTCCCATAGTGGCTTCTCTAGAGCAGTCATTTCATTTTACTTTTAGTAATGCAAGCTGAGCTGGCCACATGGAAGCAGCAACAGCAGAGATGGCAGAGGCAGCAGAACAGCATAGGGATGAGAACAGTGGCAGCCACAGCTGAGCAGTTACCAGGCCTCACTGTAAAAGCAACAAGGCAGCCGATTGACTAACAGCTAAAGACTGGAACTAGGCAGTTCAAAGGCAGCCAAAGCAGAAAAAAAGTAAGAAAGAAAGGCAATGGGAGGCGAGGCAGCAGAGGACAGAGAGCAGATGCTAAAGATCTAAAGACCCAGTGAAACCAGCAAAGAGAAAACTAAAGACTGGGGTTACCAGAAGAGTTTCAGAAATATTCATCTAGTCTCCAGACCCAAGGGGCTCAGGTCCCAGGTTTAGAGTTCTAACACAAGCTTCTAACAATGACCAAAGGTAACCACACCCAAGGACTGCATTTAGACTTTAACCCTTGGAAGGCCGAGTTCTGATCCCATATCTAAGGCCTATAAAGAAATGGTAACACTGGAGGATGCCAGTTGCTGTGACTTCTGTCCACCAACCAGCAACCACTTGCTGCTGCCAAACACTGAAAGGAAAGCTGTCTGCAACCAGCACCTAAAGGCCTTTGCCTGCTATGATTTCTACCTAAGTAAAGCAGAAGAATCTTTAGTCAGATGGTTAGTGGCAGTGCTTTGTCAGAAATGTCTTCCTTACGTACAGACCCAGATTGGTTGCCTTTCTTAAAACGTTCTTGTGGTGAAGTGGATCTTTGATTCACAGCATTTAAAACATGTTGGCGCTGTGTGCTTAATTTTGTGATAATGGAAAAATCTTCATCAAATTCTAAGCTTCATGGAGACTGTTTTGTTTACTATTATACTTTTGTATCCATTTTTTATTTTTTAACTTTTTATTGATTCTTGGTGAGTTTCACATCATGTACCCCAGTCTCACTCATCTTCCTGTCCCCCTTTATCCAGCCTTCCCTCTTACAACCTCTCCTGCCAAAATAACACACACACACACACACACACATACACACACACACACAAAGCATAGAAAAACATCTTATCGTAGAAGTTATAGTGTGTCACAGTGTGTCCCACAGTCTATCCCTCTGTCCACACATCTTCAGTTGCAAATGTTCATTGCTATGAGTCATTGGTCTGGTTCAGGATCTCTGGCTTCTGTGACACCATCAATATTGAATCCTCACCGAGACTCCTCCCAGTAATCCAGCTGTTGCCCTGTGTCACAGAGATCCTGTGGCTTTGGAAGAGCAGGACTGACCCTTTCACTCACCCCAACTGTTCACAGATGATAGCGATGTTGAAGTGGACCAACTCAGAGCCCTGGATCTTGCCCTGGGTGGTAGCTGAGCTGGTCCGTGAGCTGGCTGTCTCTTATCTGCACCACTGTGGCGGTCTCTCCAGCACTGCTCCAGCTAGGCCACCCACTGCTGCTGTCAGCAGGAGGCAGGGCCAGCTCTCCTGCGTTCAAGTTCTCAGGGCCCTACTCACCTTCACCCACACCTGCAAGAGCCAGTTCCACTGTTCTGCCCAGTCAAGGTATGGGGCCTGCTCTCCCGAGTGCTGCAGCCTGAAAGGGACGGACTGTGCCAGCTCTCCTGCTCTCACTCCCTCAGGGCAGGCTCACCCATGCCTTTACCATTGGGACCAGATACATTGTGTTGCCCAGGCAAGGTTCAGGCCCTGCTCTCCTGAGTACTGCAGCCAGCGAGGAGACACAGCCAACTCTCCTGCTCTCAGAGCCAACTCTCCCAACTATCCCAGGTGGCAAGTGGGGAGAGGAGAAGGACATGACCCTGCACCCGTTTCACCTCACAACAGAGGAGTGGTGGAGCCAGCTCTCCCTCACTCTTGACCCCAGGGTCAGCTCTTCTGACTGCCTAACTTGTTGAGGTGCAGGAGGCAGGGCTTCTCCCCTCGCCCAGGCCACCTCATGGCAGAGGAGTGGTGGGGCCAGCTCTCTTTCTCTCACATGCTGGAGGCCCTGGAGGCGGGCTTACCCACACCTCACCGCCAGGGCCAGCTCTACTGTACTGCCTACGCAAGGTACAGGGCCGCTCTCCCAAGTGCTACCAACAGTGAGGGGACCAATTCTCCAGAGCACTGCAGCCATTGGGGGGAAGAATCACTTCTGCACAGCCCCTGGACATCCACATAGTCTTATGTCACTGCCCTGACCAGGAATATCCTCATGTTCTCTGGTGTTAATATGATCCGTGGGCTTTGACAGAGACCATGGCTACTAAGTAGCCATGGACCCAGACATGGCCCACAGCAACAGCTCGGGCTAAGACCTCACTATGGCTCCAGACAGTGGGGTTGGCCACTCACAACAGGTTACTCCTCTCCAATTCCATCTGAGAGTCTCCAGTTCCATCTCTGTTCAGAAAGCTCAAGGTGTTCTATTACCCTTTCTCTAATATCTGTCCACCTGCACATTATGGTAGCTCCCACTGCAGGCTGGCCACGTAGCTCAAAGACCCCCACGGCGGCCATCCCCAGTGAAAGATGTATAGCATGATGGCAAACGCTCTATTTACAGTGTGCCTGTGCTGTGCTCAGAGGGCAGGCAAGTCTATGGGTGGTAAGGAAGCCCGCAGGTCTCTGTATGTCTTCCTACTCCCTCGCTGAGCTGTGTGGTGGTAGACAGGGTTCTGTGTGCCTGTGGTCTACCTGTGCTGTGAGGTAGAGAGAAGATCTGTGGGTGTCTTCTCCCCACCCACATCGAGTGGCATGGCATGGGATGGGGCAGGTCTCTGTCTTCCTCTTTCTGCACTGTGCTGCCTGGACTTGATTTGATTTGATTTGACTTTTCTATGTCCTAGGCTGAAAACAGCTTTGGCCAGCAAGCCAGGCATCAAGCTAGGATGAACAAAGGACTGTCGTCTGCTCTGCCTCGACTGATATAAGAACATCACCAACAACAAACAAGATGTTTCTTTGCCCATTGACAGGAGGGTACTATTATACTTTTAAAGCTTACTGAAGGGATAGTAAATCATCACTCAATGTATACTTGATAAAATAATGAATATACAATATGCATCAAAGGGTTATCTTTAGGTAGTAAGGTTATGGGTGATTTGTTGTTGATTCCCCTTCAGTGTAAATGTGTTTTGTGTGTTATATTTTTGCAGTGGAAGAGAAAACAAATGTTTAAATCAGCATAAAAGCAATACATTAGTAAATGTGAATTATTCCAGAGTAATAAGGTCATTTTGAGTCAATGAATAATCAGAAAGGATGGGGTTCCTACTGAAAGGTTCATTGGACAAAGTTCCCAAACAAAATTTTCAAATTGATCACTGTGTGCAAACAGGTAAAGAGGGGCAGAAGGACACATAAGACAAGGTGAGTAAGATCTGCAAACTTAGGATGGTAAGAGGTTACAAATGTTCCTATACTATCACAGGAAGTGGAAGCGGTAAGCCAAAAGAAAGAAAAATGGAGGGTCCCAAAACAAACCAAATGAACTAAGGTTAATAACGTGTTTCAACTGAACTCCTTCCTTCCCTTCTTTTTCATCTTGCTTTTCCAAAGTGTGAAAAAAATGAGAAATACCCCAAAGTGCTCCCAATGTGTTTTTCAAGGAATCTTGAATTGATCACATTTAGGAGCAAAACTTGGGTGTTCTTGCTTAGCCTGGCTCCACTCAGACATGTGCTCCCAGACACAGCAAATGAAGGTCCTTAATAGAAAGTACCAGCAGTAATTAAGGCATTCCTATTTTAAAAAGAAGAAATGGCTAAGATGTTTTCCTTAAGGATTGTCTGTAGGCTCTTAGCCCGTTGAATTTCAATCTTTACTCCTTATCTATCAAAAAGTCACTCCCTGGCTATGAATGTGCCAAACATTTTGACCAAGTACTTATCTGCACAGCCACAAAACCAATATCATCAGTTAGGGAAAAACAATTTCCTCTGGCAAGTAGAGACAGCCTAATTGCTTAATCTGACATATTATTAATGGCTCAAGCCAACCAAAAGCATAATGGATATTGATAACCAGTGGCAGGTTGGACATTTGATGCATACAGTATTGCTGGAAATTACTTACATGAAGGGTTGCTACTGACCGTTAGACTAAATTGCTCAATCTCCATGGATTTCATTAAACAGTTCCATCAACTTGATAAAGTGGCAAGACAGAAAGTAAGCCCATTAACTATAGCTCTAAAAAAAAGGGGGGCTAACAGAATGGAAGACGTTTATAATATTTATATTCTGTATCAATGTAAAAATATAAATCTCCTTAGTAAAATTGTACTTTGGATGTTGGGGACAGTTCTACCCCTTCTCCATTTAAATGTTCTGGGGAACGGGACCTAAAACTGAGCTATTACCTGCAAATAAGCATGGCTTGGAAAGACCTGACAGTGACATTGAGCTTGGTGCTTCTAGGTGTTCATGATCTGATTCATCACTCACTGGTCTTTTCTTGAGAAAATGCTAAGCCTCATCCAAGGCACTTGCTCTTTTCATTTCCTTTCCCCTTCACAGAGCTATTGGTAAGGGTTAGCATGCAGATAGGGAGTGACTTTCCCAGTCTCCTTTGCATGGATGCAGTTCTAAGCCTCATTTGGGCTTTATAAAGACGCATAAGGAATCACTTCTACTCTGAAAAATTGGCTTTAAAAACAAAAGAGGGGGAACGGTACCCCCTCAGAAGGAGTCCCCCTGAAATACTCTCCATCATGTCTTGTTCACTTTTATCTCTCTAAAGCTAAAAGCTCATGGCAAATCTGCTGCTGACTGCCTCTGGCACCACCAAGACCAACAAAACTTTGCCACAGATATGGGGAAGGACCCTCTTACACTTAAAGGGAATGGCCCAGACCCAGTTCCCTTATGGGGCTGAGAACTGATATGCCTGTCCGATACCACAGAAGGCACAGCTGACTGGCTACCAAAAAGATAAATGAAAAAAATAAATACCCCCACAAAGCCAGACCCAACCATAAATACGAAGAATAACAATTTACATCCAGGGAAGAGAAATCTCCCTGAGAATACCCTTCTTTTTCCTTTCCAGGTAAAAATGAATCACCCGTGATGTCTGCGGTTAGAAGTTCTAATCCAGATGCTGGCCTCCGAACTTATACTACTCAGACATTTGAAGGGCCACTGACAAGAACATCAAACAGCTAGAGATTGACATCACTAATCTGAAGAAATCCCTCGTTTCGCCATCTGAAGAGACCTCCTAAAATCGCAAAGATCTTTATTGGACTTGATTTACTCTAGTACAATAGAAAAGACTGTATACAGCTCTTGACTGTGTACAACCCTCAAAGAAGAAGATTGCCTTTACATAGACAAGAAAAGGAGGTTTAAAGAGAGCATGAAATAGGTAGTTGAAGGCCCTAAGAAAAATCAGAGAAAGAAAGAGACAGATGAATGCTGGTACAAGAATTGGTTTTCAGCCTCTCCAAGGTTGTCAATCCTATTTCCTTTCATCTTGGGACCACTATTTGGCTTCTTTTTGCTTTTTTCTGCTGGTCCCTGGCCCTCAAATAGGCAGACTAACTCAGTGATACAACAGATAAATAATTTGGTAGCAAAACCTACTCAGATACATTATCATAAGTTAGCTTTGGAGGACCACGAGACTCAAGATGAGGTTGTTACTTTATACAGGGTGTTTCCAAAACACATCTCCACCCAACCTAAAAGGGGGGACTTCTGCCCCTAGACCAAGCAGAGAGGGGCCACCCAGAACCCCCTCTGACAGGCGATCTGAATTCTTGCTTAGGCTGCGAGGCTAAGCACTGCAAGGGAATATAAATAAAAGTTAAAAATATCTCTCTGGGTTCCCTGAGGGACAAGCCTGACTGCATAGGGGTTGATGTCAAAAGTATCCCCTCTCCAGGAAAAAGACATCAGGACAGATATGGCCCTCGTGCCTCATTGGACAACGACAGGGGGACTGGAGCCATTACAAGGTCCCCTTCAAATACTGGAGGTCAGGCCTCTATCCCCGCCTTCCCAAGTTTAGAATTGCCACAGCCCTTCTATACTTAGAGAAGGGAGGAGATGTCAGGGGCAGCCCTGCTTACACACTGTAGGTCTAAAATCAGCCATAGGCCTAAAATCAGCAATAGGCCTGTCATACATGTATACTAACACCAAGTCTTGGGTCTCAGTGGGAAAACATTGAAACAGATGGCTATAAGCTAATTTAAACAGGCAGCTTTTGTGGAAATTTATAAGCCTGAGTAGTCATAGACCTTGTAAATAGGTAGCCTTGGCAGACAATACCAACTTAGATAAGGACAAGTGAGTCATAGGCAGAGTCATAGTGACTTGTCCCCTGAACCTTCACCTAGCCAATACCCGGTTCTGAAGATATTTGTATTCCCCCTGAACACCCACACTCCAGTGCCATTCCCTTCCCCACATCCTGCCTTTCTGTGTTTATAACCCCTGTGTGAATGGATTACGATTTGAGAAAAAAAAGATGTATTATTAGAGAAATAAATGCCAGTACATATGCAATATACACACTTAAATGTACATTTGTGTATCTATACTTCTCAATACTTAGATATCTACCCAGGACAATCACTGTAAAAGTGTATTCATTTTTAAAGATGTATTTATTTCCTTACTTATTTACTTGTTTAGTTCATTGTTTATGTCTGTTTGAGTTTGTGTGCATTGTGTGTATACTGGCGCCCACAAAGGCCAGAAGAAAGCATCACGTCCTCTGGAACTGGAGTTTTAGGTGGTTGAAAGCTACCATGTGAGTGCTAAGAACTGAACCCAGCTCCCCTGCAAGACCAGTAAGCTCTCAAGCACCTGTGGTGCTTAGGAAAGGAGGCTGAGCATGCTATGGAAAGCAGAACAGTCAACAATGTCCTTACATGTTTCTTCAGTTTCTGCCTCCAGCATCTGCCCTGAGTTCCTGCCCTTGTTCCCTGATGGCAGAAGGTTTTGTAAGGTGAAATAAACCCTTTCCTTTCCCGCACCCCCCACTCCATGTTGCTTTTGATCATGGTATTTTGTCACAGCAACAGAAAGCAAACTGGGGCATGGGTTTTGCAGACAGAGTCACAGAGACTGAGAGATTCCAAAGCCCCACATCTAGGAAGGGTGGGGATAGGAATTCAGCCTCTCTCAGAATACAGAGAATACTTTCTGTCTGACACACAGTCATTATAGATTCAGCCTTCCAGCTACCTGAACTGCTTTCAGTTTCTATCTTTTACTCAGAGCACCTTGAGAACAAGTGAGTTGGGACCAAGTCTCAGTTGCTTTATAGCTGACAAGTTACCCAGCATTGCCCCATAATCCTTAGTCTCTTTACCAGCAGAAGGGAGATAATAATAGTCTCCCCACATTTATTATAGAGATTGTATAAAGTGGTGAACACAGAGTGTGAGCTGAATAAATAATAATTATGTTGACTTAAAAAAAAGAATCACTTCTAAATAACCACAGGAAAATTATTTATAGCATATCTAGAGTTCCAATCTACACCCTCCTCTCTAAGACCTTAATAATACTCCTTCCATATGATCAGTAACAAAAGAGAGCCAAATCTTGAAGATTAACTTGGACTCAAGACTTAAAGTGAGAAATTCCCTATGAAGCATAAGAGAAGAATAAACACTAAAACTCAAAACAACGAGACTAGGAAGAACAAAAAGAAGCCTTCAGCTCTTTGGATATATGGAAAATTATGCACCTTGGTCTTCACTTGAGACTCCTAGAAGGAAACAGAGCCTGTCTCTGACTCTGTTGCCTGCCTTTGGATCCCTTTTCCTTAACTGGGCAGCCTTATCTAGCCTCAGTGGGAGAGGATGCACCTAGTCCTACTGAATTTTAATATGCCAAGGCCAGTTGGTATCTATGGGAGGTTTCCCCTTTTCTGAAGAGAAACAGAGAAGGAGTGGATAAGGAGGAGGACAAGGGAAAATGAGAAGAGGACTGGGAGGAAAATAGTGAGGGGAAA